CCAAGTTCTGTGTATTTTGTGTAAACGAATGTTTTCATAGCACATATGTATGTGCACCGTGAATAATTGGTACCCACAGAGCTCAGAGGGTACTGGATACCCTAGGATTGCAGTTACAGGGTATTGTAAGCTGGCAGGAATTGAACCTGGATCCTCTGCATATGCGACAACTGCTCTAACTACTGAGCCAACTCTTCCGGTCCCTTCTGTGATTAGTTTTTGCAATATAGATAGACTTGAGATTCTCTCAAATAGCCAAGTGAACTACTTCCTTTTAAACTTTATTTTATTCTTTAGCCCCCTTTTACTGCTTCACTATGGAGACTGAGAATCCCCGAGTCTGACCTTTCACATAGCTGTAGGCCATAACTGAGCTAGCTACAGACATCTTCCCTCCAGTTTCAACCACAGGTTTGAATGTGTTTCAGAGCACTAAAGAAGCACTTATAAATGACCCGAATTTCTGGAGGTTAAAAACAACACTGTGTTTTCTGTCATGTGCCTCAGCATCATCCAGTTTCTTCACAATTTCAAACCCACAATCACAAAGGAAGTTCAAAGCAGAATTTTATTCCAGAGCCTGAAAGTCTGAACTCAGCATGTTAGCAGGGCTCAGTTCCCTTGGAACCATCGAAGGAGGCCCTTGAAATGCTGCTGGCTTCAGGTGCTTCCAGGAAGACCATCTTCAGACCGCAATCTTAAACCTCACCTTTCCTGGAGACATGTCTCTTTAGTATGTAGCTCTGGCTGCTCTGGAACTTGCTACCTACACTAGGATATCCTCTAACCCAGCGCTGGTATAAAGGAGTGCATCACCACGCCCGGGGAAAGACATTTTGGAATCTCATTCTGCTCTTAGCTTCTCTGATTTATGTTATAGTCTGCCTTACTCTTAAAGGGCACATGTGGTGATAGTCAAGAAATAATTGTGATTAAAGTCTCCTTCTCAAGATACCTCAATCACACCTGCAAAAAGCACTCCTCACTTTTTGACCATACAGAGAAACACCTGAAAATTCTAGGAATTAAGTATGGGGGAGAGGCTGTAACGTGCTCAGTCTACACCAAGTGTTTTAAAAACCAGAACAAACAAGCCTACATTTTCCTGAGAAGCTCCTCTCAACTGCACACTGAGCACTATTTATACTCAAGTACGTACACCTCAAGTTCAGACACTGCACTTCCAACCTCTCAGCGATGAACTCACACCACCAAGTGACCCATCTCAGTATCAGACATAACTGTCAACTTACAGTTTGCAGTGACTTCAAATCCTGAACATCCATCCACCTACTAGAAATCCATCAGCATTCTAATGACTCCTAGCTGCAGTGATGTGGAGACGGCTCAGGTCAATCTCTACACTGCAGGACACTAGGCAGACAGGCACAGGTGGAGGCTGCATCTCTTACTGGTAACTTAGTCAGAACACATCCCTCCACAGCAATATCTAAACTCTACTGTGGCAACATGCCTCTAACACTGCATTAGGGAAGTGAAATAGAAGGGTTACCCGGAGTTCAAGTCCAGCCTGAGCTACAGAGTCAGTCTAGGCACTAACGAAGCCAGGCTACAGAGTTGAGACCCAAAACTAAACAAAATTCTGCTTCCTTTTCATGATTCATATACTTCTGTACCATCCCTGGCATTTTCAAAGACACACTATACAAAACCTGAATAAAACAGCCCCCAAAATTTAAGTGCTTCTAGAAAAAGTAAATAGGCTGGGAGATAGCTCAGCGTGGAAGGCACATACCCAGCACCCATGTAGACATGGTCCTGGTGGTAAGCATGCACCGCAAACCTGTGAACTGGAATTGAGGGTGGCCCGACAGTCTGCTGAAATGATAAGCTCCAGGTTCAGTGAAACCACAACTCAACAAATAAATGAATGAATAAGTAAACAAATGAGGGGGAGAGACTGAGGGAAACACCAGACACCAACCTCAGGCCTCCACGTGTGTGCATACACATCAAAAACACAAAGGAAATTAAAATCCTGCATTAATAATCTTTAAACTACTGTAAGGCAGCTGGCTGTCAATTCAAGTTTAAAAACTAGGAGTGTACCTGCTCAGTGAAGGCAGTCCACATGTGGATTATGTGATTTTATCAAATATGTGTTACTTGTTTGGTCATGTTACAGAGAAACGTATCTTGACACATTATTTGGAAGAGATTGAGCAAGAACTGTGCACAGATTAGCGTTAACAGAAACCTCCACGCACTCCACCTGACTAAATCTAGCACATTCCTTTTTGGTCCCTACTCAACTCCAGATTCAACTGCTACCCTAACAGGGCCTACTTAAAGTGTTCAAAAGGATGCCTTAGTGTACTTGCCTGGACAGCTTTCCTTCTATGCCATAAAGAAGGAATGCATCACTTACAACATGTTTAATTGAGGAAGGTGTAAAGTTATGCTTGGAAATACTAACTAAAGATAGCTATTCTTAACAGACTGACTCAATCTTAAAAGATACAAATATGCTCTTTGTGAGCAAATGTCCATCTCTAAGAGACAACAGTTTTTATCTGGCTACTTTGTACATCGTGTCTCCTGTTCAGAAGTTCTTTGTCTGCTCCAGCTGTCACTCTTAGTGACCATAAAAGAAAGCACGGTGTGCGAATGGAATTTCCATGAGTAAGTTTTATAGAGTAAATTTGTAGAAGCAGAATTTAAAGTCTGGGGTATATCCAGATATTTAAGCAGTTTCTGAAACTTGTTACTCCCATCTAAATCCACAGGATCTCAGAGTGCTTTCACCATACTCTATCTTTCAACAGGATACTTCCTAAAGAACGGAAAACTAATTTAGAACGGGACCTCAACAGAATGGGGAAAAAGATTTTGTTTCCACAGATGTTGGGATCTATTTTCTAGGAATTACAGTAGCTAATTCCTCATGCCATATGTAATAATTCTGCATGTTTTTGGGTCCTTATCTGGAAGCTGGTCTTTATCAGTTTTCTGTTACTGAGAACTGTCCGTGGCAGGGGCACTATGTCCTCAAAGCACCCTCCTGCCTGGCCGGTCTCTGCTGTCACACACCCTTCTTGGCATGCATCACATCTGCTCACCACTGTCTCTAACGCCTACTACTATTTCTCTACTGTCCCAGAGACTTCGTCCCCTCCTCACCTCAAGGCCTTGGCCATTTCACTTCTTCACACTCTCATGAGAAGTCTACTTCAAAGAGACATCTCTTGGAAGGCCTTTGTATACATACCACTCCATCACAATTAGGTCAATCATAAACTACCATCCACACCATTTAAACATTCCTGTAGAATTAACTTTTCTTAGAACAGTCCATGTCTCTACAATAAACACTAATAATTTACAAGAAAGTAATTCCTTATCTACTTTCCAAACAACTTTTGTGAACAGACTTTAGTGCAGTTGCCTTTGGCCACTTAGGTACAATGTTTCCTATGCTTTGTTTGCCATTATAACACTCAGTATATACAACTGCTGTTCCAGCCAGGCAAGCAGCACAGCATTGTCTACAATACACTGCTGCTTCACCTTCCCTTTGACTGATTTGTCCTCAGTTCGACTGAATTTTAATGTTTTATATCAGATTTCCCAGTAAACAAAGAGCAAGGAAAATGAAAGGAACAATATCCAAAGAGCTTTAATATTCAACCTGCCACCATCTTCACATCCAATTCATCTTCTGACTCCCTCATAAAGGACATTCCACTTTCCACATACAAAATTGCCTTCAACTCAGTCATTTCTTAGGCTCCCAACCCAAATGACCTAAATCTACCTGGGGTGTTTATGAGTTTCTAGAAGTCCACCTTCCCTACCTAAGGCACCCATTCACTGAATTTCAATGATGTCACTCCCTAGTCTATCAGCAGACTTCATTTTCTTTTAAGGTAGAGATGTGAGGAAACAGGATAAAAAAACAAAAATTGGCCATTAAGCACAACCTGAGAAATAGTCTTGTAGAAAATGATCAATCTTCCCACCACCACCACCCTCCAAAAAAGAAACAAGTTTATATTCCATAGATGCACTAGTACCTGATAGGAGTCACAAGGTGAGGGTATCAAGGCCACCACCAGTCAAAGTTAACACAGCCATCTAACCCTTCTACCATGTCCTCATAGACCTAGATCACTAACATATTTCTCTTCTGAAGTGTTTGTCACAAACCAGACTTTATTTACCCTTCAAAGTTCAACCACCCAAACCTGAAATAAGACTGTCCTCCTCCTTCTACCTGTAGTGGCATACACTCTTGTCCCACCCAGGCCCTAGGACAAGCTCCCCTGTGTGTTCTTCTCAATAGTCAGTTTTCAAGGAGAAATTATGTGACATAACTTGCTCTTCCCCTAAACAACAAGTCTCAGCAGCAAAGACCTCTGTTGGTCTTGATACTGCTACTGCATTCGAATCAGACTTTCCTAGAATCTCTAAGTTGTATCTATACTCATGGGTTACTGTCTTGGAAGTTCGGAACCACTTATGTTCATAGTCTCTCCTCACACTGGCGGATTATATTTTAAATTTGCCTACACCTTTTATAGCACAATGATATAATTAGTTTATAGTCTGTGTACTTCTGTTGAGATAGTAAATTAGAAACATGAGATAAAATGTGTGAACTGCGGTGGAGCACACCTGGAATCCCAGCACGTAAGTTCAGGAAGCCAAGGCCAGCCTGGATTACAGGAGATCTGAGGCACGAGAGGGGAGAACCCGACTGCATTTAAGCAGTCTTCCTTCTGTCTAGTGAAGGTGAGTAAGGCCAGGGTTGAAGACATTGGGGGCAGGGAGAGTAAACCTCCCCCCAAAATGTTTTAAACCACTGAAAATTTTAATTCTCTCCAAATTAGAGATTAAAATATCGCCAATTCTACCACTCTTTACCTCAACCTCAAGGTCCTTGAAGCAATCTTGAGAATCTTCACAAAGCCCAATTACTCAGCACAAATTCACACACTCTGAAGACCCTGCATGATGCCTCCCAAATCCACAGCACTCACCAGTTTGGCCTGTGCTTCTGCGATTTTCCGGTTATTTTCTTCTAATATCCGCTCCAGCTCCTCACGCTTTGCTCGTTCTTCCTCCTAAAGGGGAGGACATGTTACAACGTTAGGAAAACAAAGTGTTTAGCTCTACCAGCAAATAATTACTAATCTTCCTCTAAACTCTGCTGGATCTGACTTACAGGGCGGCTGTACAGCCACCTTTCTGTCTGACAAGCGATAAGCTGTGCAATCTAACACTAAATTTAAATCACCCCTCCCAGTCCAAAACAGCAACCGACTAAACCCTCCCTAATAGTCTCCTGGCAATTATTACTAATACTTTAATATCACACAAATCAACAAGGACAACTACAAAACTGGATAGTATTTACCAAATTAAAAATATATATAAAATATAAATAAAGTGAATATTTGTCTCACCAATTATAGATACCTACGTATTCTTTACCTATACTCCTTTAATCAGCATTAAAAGTTGAGTATTTACTGTCTTGTCCAGTGTCCTGCAGAGTGTGCTCCTCGGCTGCCATACGCGCCAGCTTCCTCTTTAAAATGATTTGTACTGTTAGCTTGGCAATACCTGCATCAGCAGCTCAACCATTTATAAAGAAACAACATACAAGGAAGGCTGAGCTGAGGAATGCAGATGTTTATGGTAAGAAGGAACAAAAAATGTAATTCATCATTCCTAAGGCAAACAATTAATAAGAAAAATACATTTACTGTTAGTGAAAAATACAAATGGTAATCCATACTAAGGACTGCTTCCATGGGGCATGGACTTAACATCAGATGTTGACAACCACTAAAGGCAGCTTATATTGTCATCTACAGTCTGCACTGAAATTCAGGAATCCGGGGGATGCACAGTCAGGAAATAAAATTCTGTCATTTTTTTTCTTGGAGAATTTAATGAAGTTTTATAATGCAAACTATATGAAGATTGCTTGATGGTTTGGGCAGTGTTCAGATCACAGCATACATACTCAAATGATTTTAGTATTTGGGAAGACTGTCAAAGGATTGTGTCCGTGTTAAAAAAAAATGTTAATATGAAACAAAAAGCAAATGAAGAGAAAAAAATCTTGCTATGATTAATAACTCGCTACAAAATAGCACAATTACTCCAAAAATATCTCCATTATTAAAGGCACTGATATGAACCAACTACAAACAGGTCTATGTAGTTAAGACAGGACAAGGGAAATGCACTGTACAAGCAAAGCTTACTAGAAAGCAGACTTAACACAATGTCAACTTGTCCACAGTAACGCCAGGATGAAGGATGACAGTAAGCCATGTATTTAAGCCAAATATTTATAAATTTATGTTCAAGACAATGTAACTACAGATTTCCTCTGTCACACGAATTCATTTGTTCATTAGCAAACTGTGGAGAGACACTCAGTGCTGTGAAGCAATTTGCCTTGAGTGTCTCCGTGACTTTCGCACACTTTAGGATCCTGGAGTAATCAGTGCAAACAAGCCATAAAGCTTCAGTAGCAAATTACTGTCTCACAGAAAGACATTTTCAACTTCTGCTCCAGCTGCTGATAAAACAAATCATGTGTTTAGCTTGACTCCAGACAAGGACAACCTGTTCCTTCATAACTCTCTAGAGAAAAAAAGGAGTTGTTAGTAGGTACTTAAAAAAAAAAAAAGGAAAAAAAAAGATGAACAATCTGGACATTTTTCCGTAAAAGATTCCTTGAAACACATTACGAAAATGGAGGGCCTTATAGTCAAAATGCTTGAATTAGTCCACTGTGTTGAAAGGATTTAGGGAGGGGATGAGGGATAACAGAAGGAAAAAAAGAAGAGCGAGAAAACCTGTGTATCAAAGCAGGAGCTGTCACTCAAAGTGAGGCCCTGCTCTTTGTAAGGCGACTGAAGGCAAAAGGCTCTCAGTCAAGGTCACAGTGATAACAGAAAGGAAGATGCAACCGCAGGCAGACTTTTAGCCTTTTCCCTTTTCCACTCCCTGGCTTCCCCCTACCCTCCCAAAAAAAGAATGTAGTCCTGCAGCCATGGCAAAAGTTTCAAACACTTCTCAAATACATAAGCCAGTTCCGTTAGATCAAAAAAAAAATATCCTTGAATAAGTTTTAAGAAAGTAGCTTTTAAGTACCAGTCAGCACTTCTGGCTAAAAAATTCTTTCGCAGCCACATAACTTTAGATGAGAAAGGAATTAGAAAGTCGCATTCCATCTCGTTCTGGACTGAGCAGGGGCACACCTGACACTGAAAGTTTTGCCATGGACTGTCTCTACTTTCCAAACGACCGAGCGTTACCTCTCTAGCTTTTTGTGCTGCAAGCTCAGCTTGTCTCTGTCGCTCGAGTTCTTCGAGCAACTGCTTTTCCATGATGCGTTTGGCCTCTTCCACCCTTCGGAGGACTTCTCGTTCAATTTCATCCTTCCTTTTCTCCAATTCTTCTTCTACCCTCTTTGCTACCAATTCTTCTACTCTTCGTGCTGTTTCTTCCTCAATGAGTTTTTCTTCTATTTCTTGCTGCCGACTAGGAAATAAAAATAGAAAAGACAACGTTTTAACCTAAGAATTAAAACTAATTTTAAGCCTACTTATTAAGTCTTATTTCTTATACCCGTAATTTTATAGCTTATTCTTACATCACATTCAGCAAAAAGAGCAATCAAGATAAGTAATACAGAAATTCAAATGAGTATAAATATCTTAGGGGGGGTTCACGCATTCTAAATATAGAAAGGCTAGTGTGTAACAAGAACCTAATTCCTTAGGTTTATTTAGGACCTGTAAATCTGAAACAGGAACCTACTCCTGTTATCAAGTAGGTGCTGCACTTAGGCACTCTGTGCAAGGTTGAGCCACAGAAACTCCTTAAGTAAAGGACAACAGTACTGTGGTCTTTACTCTAGGCTCTGAACTTAACTTGTTGTGCCTTTTCCTCCTTTAATATTTGATTTCATTTAAAAGCTGTTCTAGATTTGACAGAATAGAAAGGTAAGACTATACTGTATTATTATCAAGGCTAAACGAAGCCTTACTGTTCCCATTTTAATCCCATTGAAACAATTAGCTTACTGACTGGAAACAAAATTTTGGCTAAGAACATCTATCAAAGTGCTATCACAAAAACCTTGCGCATTTGTAGCAATGACAGTCCCTGGTACCATACATCTACTGGCAAGTTAGTAGGAGGAAAACCTAAAATGCTCTTCCATTTTATTTGGTTAGATGTTAAATGTAAGTATTTTGGATAGACTGGAAGCATGCTAACACTACAGTGGTCTTGGAACTGTAGTTTAGAATACAGAATCAGTAGATAGTATTGACGTTCACTTTGCTTCCATTATGTTTCTACCCAGGAGCAGGCCAAGCATTATTTTGTGCAGAATGAATGAATTCAAAGGCTCTTAATAATGAATGCATCTAAAGCCAAAGAGGCCAATTTAGTAATACTTCCTCCCAAACTATCAAATTAACAAACTCGCAACTTTCATCTTTAGAATCTATCTGACACACACATGGGACAGTCGTTCATCTGGCATGCTTAGTAAAGACTTTCTAGTTGCTGTGACCGTCAAGCAGTCTAACACATTTCTACTCAATTCCCACCCAAGGGCTTTCAGCTCAATACATTCGCTGCATTGTCTACACTTATCCTTGGCCTCTATCTGAGAGGCAGAAGACGGGACAATAATTTGGTTCTTCTAAGACTGTAGGACTTGTCTGCATCTTTGCTATTTCCTTCCCAACTGCCATATTCCAACAGTACAGGAGTGCTCAAGACTCAACACAGCCCTCCTTTCTTTTTAAGGTCCTGTCAAATAAAGGCTAACTAAAGTGAGCCTTTTGTCAGCAGACACAGCAGATAGCCTCCAAGGTGATGAACGATCTACCATGAACAGAACGACGCTGAACAGAGAGCTCGATTCAATGGCAATCATACACAGATAGTTTCCTATCCACCCAAAAGGAAACTTTTCAGCTATTTTTTTTTAGAAAATCAGATATAGTAAAGCCTAAGAAACTCAGCATTTACATCTTCAAAATCTCAACTCTTAATTATCAGTGTTAGATGGGACAGAGTACTAAGTACAAAAGAGATAATGAGACTTTAGTGGAGACTTTCTGTGAGCAGAAAGGGAGGGAAATAAGACCCTAGGAAAGCTCATCAGTGAGCAGCAAAGCTCTCACTTTTAAATAGGAATCTGATAAAGTGACAGAGACTCTCAGTATTCAGGATCTAGATCAGGCAGTCATCCCTTCTAAGCAACACAGCAACAGAGAGCCAGCAGTACGCCCATAGATTTGGACATAAGGGAAAAGAAGCAAACAAATTCAGTTTTTTACTCACAGTAAACGCCATACCAGCCTGAACTTCAGCTCTGGCAGTCTTCACCCAGTGATCCCACCAACCGGGGAAGATGACAGGCAGTAAGTTGCTGAATTAAGGGTCAAGTCTAACTGCAGCTCAGGTTTAATAGTCTAAAGGGGAGGAGAGCAAATGGCAAAGTCCCAGTCACAGCTGAGGCAGTGCAGGATGAGAACTGGCCTGCCCCGTGTTCTCACAGGGCTGCTTATCTCCCTTTGTTCCTGGAGGAACTGAAGGGCAACCCAGCATGCCTCCAATAAATAGCCTTACTTATGTTTCCTGAATGAGGGGCCGATCAGGCAATGAGGTCTGGGCACATGGTTGTAGCACTACAAGCCTCACAGGAACATAATTTTGGTTGTTATTCTCAGTAAGATTAAAAAGGCATCTTCAGAATCCAGGGACAAATTTCTAGTCTGTTTCTACAATCTGTGACAAAAAACCCTTAAGGCCCCACCACTCCATCTTGTCTCCTTTCCACAGAAAACCAACTGCACATAAACTGACTTAAGCACTAGTACATCTTCTTCCCTGATGGCCAAAATTAACAGGAAGCCAATAATAGCACCACCATTAGGACAACTTTTCAATTAAAAACAATGAACTTTCTTCAAGAGAGAACCAAACCACTCTGGGCACTATCATAAGAATCACATAGAATTCTCTAAAACATTTTGTTTTAGAAGCTGCTGCTTGAGTGAATGCCAGGACCCAGACATCCTGCCTGCAGGTTCCCGAATCACCCTGGGGTAGGCTTCTTAAATCTGAGCCCAAATATATTGGGGAGTGGGGGTTGCACAGGGCTGTCTTGTCTGTCTCTCTCCAACTTCTGTCTCAACTTCCCTGCTGAGCCCATTGCTTTGCTAAGAATCTCCTGCCAGAAAAGTTATTAAATCAAGATCAAGGTGTTTTTCAAGTAGTATGATACCAAGTCCTATTTTCCCCTCGGTCATTAAAAAAACAAAACAAAACAAAACCAACAAACAAAAAAGACCACTCACTACTCCTAGTCAATCAGATGGTAACCGATTAAAACAAACCAGGGAGGGCACAGCACTAAGCGTACAGCTATACAAAAGTAATGCCGTATTTTAAGGCATCCATCCTTAAAACAAGGATACTCACTTCTTGAAACCTCTAGGATTGCTTAGTAATTACTAGTAAACATTAATTACTTTATACCTAACAGGTACTAAACACTGGGCCGCAGTGAATGCTGAGGTGATGAGTGGCCCTTGCTAGACCCTGACCTTTCCAGCAGTTTCCCCAGGACAAAGGTGAAGCAAAAATGGGGACAGAACCAAATGCAGGTCCTGTGCTTGCTCCGCCATTGTCTTAAAGCTCTGCAGAGTAAATTCAGTCATAAACTTCTTTACCCTCACTATAAGCTCTATTTATTTTTAACGAATCACGTACATGATGAATTCCAGCTCACCTTAGATACTCTCAGGCTGCTGATCTGTAATGTAGGTAACACTAAAACTATTTAATCTCAGATGTCACTGGCTGCAGGGCTTACGACCAATGGTAGGACTTCTACAGGTTGTTCCAGCTACCTGCTTTCTTCAGTGGTTAATACAACTTCAAAGAATCCCTAAGAAATCTTAGTGAGCCGGGCGGTGGTGGCGCACGCCTTTAATCCCAGCACTCGGGAGGCAGAGGCAGGTGGATCTCTGTGGGTTCGAGGCCAGCCTGGTCTACAGAGCTAGTTCCAGGACAGGAACCAAAAAGCTACGGAGAAACCCTGTCTCGAAAAATCCAAAAAAAAAAAAAAAAAAAAGAAATCTTAGTGAGTGAGGACTCACTGTATGTGGCTGGGACCCAAGCACAAGAGGGGGATCTGAGAGGAACCAACGCAAAGGCCTACCTTTTTACTACTTTCTGTGACTTATTGTTCAAAGGCTGTGTTAGGCTACACTCAGGAACAATGACTGACTCACTCTACGCCAAACACTAAGTCCTTACAGCATCTCCAATCTCACAAAATGCATCTCCATTTCACACACACAATGATTTAAGGTCTCAAAATTATAAGTAGCAAAGCAATCAGTCTCAGTCAACAGGATTGACTTGGGTAAAGCCAACAGACTTGTTTTACCGTGTCTCCGCCCATCCAACCCTAGACTGCGTGAAAACCCACCAGGCACTCTGCATTTTAGTGTTCCCACCCTGGGCTGTAACACACATTCCCCTGCTCTGCTCTTCTCTCTCCACATAGTCCCCAGGGGCACTCTATCTGTTGCCCAGGTTTAGACACAAGCAAAGCCCTATCATCAACCTTACTTAGCTCAGCTGAGTTATACACAAACTAAGAACCCAGCAGTGCCAAGGGACACTCCTGTTCTACCCTTTCCCTGACCTACACTGGTCTCATTTTAGGCAATAAAAGACAAAGGACAGGTTAAGTTGTAGTAAGGACACCACAAACACAACAGCCAACTGTATGTACCCTAAATTCCTTTGCAACCCGTTCCTCTTCCATTCTAACGATGGCTCTTACCCACTCCCTCTCCTTACCCTATCTACTTTTTGGTCTCCAGCCTACACAATACACCCTATACGACAGGAAGTGGTCTTTTAAAGGGTGCTGTTTCGTTTCTCTCCTCAGAACTTCCTGATCTAGAATGAATTAAACCAAATCTCACGCATCCAAGAACCCACGTAGAATTTCCAGGCTCTGCTCACTTCTCCAGTGACTCCTGGGCTTCAGGGCCTATGGTCTCCCGTGGTGAGCAACACCACCACCCCGTGCACCCAAGGCCTCCCTCCGTTCTGTTCTCTAGTGGGTTCAGGAAGACAGCTAACTCCGCGGTCCACAAATACCCACCCTCATGCAGCCTGACTGCCTTACCATCCCTATCCCCACTCTTGATGATAGTCTACTTATATTATTACCGATCATCTGCCTGAGCTAGCTCAAGATCAGTCATCTCTCTATCAACAGCACCCACCACACCACAGCTCCTGGCACTTATTAAAGGCTCAGTCAATACTAGCAGCTAGTTCAATAGACAAGCTAGCAGGCATCTGTAAACAAACTACTTTTCCTCACTCCCAAGGCCCCGTCATCTACACCGGTGTGCTCTGCAAGACATAAGTCACATTAAACATTGTCTATTACACACAGGATCTAATATTAAAGTTCTCAGTCCAGAACCAGAGCACAGCTCGCTGCCCATCATGCCATCCTATGTAGCCCATGTGCAGCGTACAATGACTCTAACTGGCAAGCAAGCTTCCCGTTTCCACACGGAGAATCATCACCTTAACTATCACGGCTAACTTTTCCTATGTCCTCCTAGTAGCTATCGGAGTTACATCTTCAAGGCTACGGGCTTGTTCCACACCCAACAGGGTTCTGTGTGACCAAGGTGTACTGAGAACAATCTGCTCGCAGCACAGGGCAGCTCCACCTACAGTATTAGCTGTGTTCAATCCCTTACCTCCGAAGCACTGCTTCTGGAAAATCTGCTCAACACAAACTCAAACACAGGGGGGAAAAAAAGGAAGGGAAAAAAAAACCCCCACACAAGTCCATACAACGTAAACTACCTAAAATTTCTGCTTCGTAACCATTTATCGAGTCTTCACTAAAGAACTCCGGAAAACATGGCTGGCTGACCACGAATATGCTTAGCACTATTGTTCCACGTGGCTTTGGGGGGGGGGGGAGGACACGTCTTTTAAAAGTACTACGCACAAGTTCACTTTGGCTGGGTTATCCACACCTCCTTTTTACAGCGAAAGCCTGACTTTCAAAACCACGTGATCTCCACCCCATTTCAAGTTAAGGTAGCCGATTTCACCCGCTGGGAAAAGGCAGTCGAGAGCACTCTGGAGCTGGAAGCAAACATTTCGGCGGGGATCAGCGGGCTCAAGCGTGCTCCCTAGAGGGGCTAACGAAGCCGGGACAAAAAGAGGCGAGGGGACGATGGCCACCCGGGTGCTCGCTGGAGGTGTGTGCACCTGCCTTCCTACGACTGCAAAAAAAGGGGGGAAGAGCCCACACCCCCCAAACACGGACCCCCCTCCCGGACGGCCCAGTGCTCCAAAGCCTCGGGCCCGGCGCTGCGCGGCCCCGCCAACCTCCCGCCTCGCGCCCTCCACTCCGACTTCCGGGCCGGCGCTCCCGCCCCACAGGCCCCGAGCGCGCCCCCGCCGCCACCACCGCCAGCCGCGCGCCCCTCACATTTTTCGCTGCCGCTCGAACTCCGCCTTCTTCTCCTCCTCCTCCCGCTTCTGCTTCTCGTCCAGGCTGCTGCGCTTGCTCACCGTGCGCCCGAAGATGTCGATGCGGTCGGGCGGGGACGAGGCGCGCTCCCGCTCGCGCCGGGACGCCGCCGCGTTGGTGGAGCGCGAGCGTGAGCGCGACTCCCGCCGCCGGTTCCGTTTGCTCTCCCGGGACTTGGAGCGCTTCCGCACCCGCTCCTTGTCCCGCGAGCGCGAGCGCGAGCGGCTGCGCTTCTTGTTGTGCTTGGAGCTCTTGGTGTGCTTGGAGCGGGACGAGCTCCGGCTCCGCGACCGGCCCATCCTCGCGCGGCGCGGCGCCCGCCGCCTGTCACCCGCTGCCCGCCGCAGGCCGCCCCTCGCCGCCGGGAAGCTCGGCCCCCCGCCCACGGACCCTCCGCCTCGCCCCGAGCGCACCCGCCGCGCACACGGCCGCCTCCGCCGTAGAGGCCTAGCAGGCCTGGCCCGGAGTCCCTAAGATGGCAGCTGCGGCAGCACCGGCCGCCCTTCCCACAATGCCCTGCGCCGAGCGTGCCGGCGTGAGCCCCGCCCCCCCGGCGACGTCGCCGAGGCGGGCCGGCGAGTGCTGCCGAGCGCGCTCGGCTCTTTCCGCCACTACGCCGAAACCAGAGCCGGGAGTTGGGCCGCCTTCGAGTCTTTCTCTACTAACTCAACAAGACCCACGAAAAACTTAGGAGTTAGAAACTATTTATGATGAACGTTGGCTGAAAGGCAGAATAAGTTCCGAGTAAGTTAGGAAATGCATGTTGTTTTCCTTAGCCAGCTTTGAGAATTTAACCTTTGCAAGCAAGACGCGTGTGCTGGTACAGGCTCATACCTGTAGCCCTAGGAACACGGAGGCCTGTGGATCAGCTGTTTAAGATCAACCTTGGCTATGCAGTAAATTGGAGGCCAGCTGGGGATACATACATAAAACATATTTTTATACACATACACGCAAATTATGCATACATGCATACCATACATGTGCCAACCACAAAACTAGAGCAATTCCCGGAGGACTCCCGAATTATCCTTAGGATGTATATATTAGAGCTAATTAAATACTTCTAAGTTTTATTGAAAAGGTTGCATCATTGTGGATTTTCAAAAATTCCAGGCCAGCTAGGGCTATGTAGTGCGCTCCAGGCCTAGTCCCAGGAGGCTAGGGAAAGATGAGGAAGAGAAAAATGAGAAATGACTAATCTCATTAGGGTCTTTTAGCTTTTGGGCTGCTTTAACAAAATATCAATAACTCAGCCGGGCGGTGGTGGCGCAGCCTTTAATCCCAGCACTTGGGAGGCAGAGGCAGGCGGATCTCTGTGAGTTCGAGACCAGCCTGGTCTACAGAGCTAGTTCCAGGACAGGCTCCAAAGCCACAGAGAAACCCTGTCTCGAAAAACCAAAAAAAAAAAAAATATATATATATATATATATATATATATACCAATAACTCAAAAGAAAGTTGTTTCCCAGGCTTGCGGGGGGTGAGAAGTACTCTATTAAGTAGGGTCTGTTTGAGCTTCCAACAGGAGACCGACCATAGTGCTGTGATTTAGGAGGGGTGAAAGGGCTTCTAATCAACACCTTATCAATGCTAATCCCATTTTTTTGAAGCCAGAGCCTCCCGGGCGGCTTCATCTTTTCTAAAAAGGCCCCTCTTCCTCCTCTCCCTTCTCCTTCTTTTGGATTTTTGAGACAGGGTTTCTGTACCAGTCTTGGCTGTTCTGAACTCCATCTCAGACCAGGTTGACCTCCAACTCAGAGATCTGACTGCTTCTACCTCCTGAGAGCTGAGATTACAGTGGACGAAGGCCCCGCTTCTTTTTTTTTTTTTTTTTTATTTTTCGAGACAGGGTTTCTCCATAGTTTTTGGTGCCTGTCCTGGAACTAGCTCTTGTAGACCAGGCTGGCCTCGAACTCACAGAGATCTGCCTGCCTCTGCCTCCCGAGTGCTGGGATTAAAGGCGTGCGCCACCACCGCCCGACCCAAGGTCCCGCTTCTTAATGCTGTCACATTGCATGTTAGGTCTAATTTATGAATTTTAGAGGGAGAAATCTTCTGGGGTTTCCGAGGCAACATGTGTTGCATTCTGCCCCCCCCCTCTTTCTCTCTCTCTCTCTCTCTCTCTCTCCATCTCAGCACCACATCCCAGCCATAGGGCACCTTGTGAGAATTGGGTACACCACCATGCTCCAGTGCCCCCTTGTTGTCATGACATCTGCAAACATCCATCCCATCCTGTGGCTCAAGCTAGACAGGATTTGAGGGTAACATTTCCATCAGTGTCCCACCCAGCACCTTAGCAGGCTGTCAGTGACTTCAGCCATATACCCCTCTCTTGCTGAGACCTCTCCTTGAGAGAGGGATGGGCCCCCCTGATCTGCCCTTCACTTGGTGAGCTCACATCAGTCACAGGACGCATTCGACTAACATCATGAATCAGTAAACGAACACAATCGTATTATCCAACTTCCATAGCAACCTAAAATAGCTTTCTAGAGAGTTTGAGACGACAGAGTTTCGCACACCTTCTGCCCAGAGCGAGCCACTTTGATCACACCTCTGGCCATAGAATTTGGAGAACTTCGACTTCCAAAATTTATTTTTTGGTTCAGTCTAAAATGTTCAGTTCTGAACAGAGCAAATAGCCTTTTGCCTAAAGAATCATCTGATTCTTCATCTGAAACTAAGGTTGGGAAGTCCAGTGCTATTGAAAGTTAACCATATGTATATGCAAAACCAAACAGAAACTCTGTGCACACTGGAAGAAACTAACAGAGACTTTCACCGAGGAAGAAGAAAAAGGCCCTTTTGTGCGTCTAAAGCATACACAGGTATGACATGCAGGGTCGGTGTCCTTTTTGTTCAAACGGCAGGGGAACAGGCCAGCCAAAGCTCTCATTACTATGAAGGTGGAAAGGCACAGAAGCTTCTATCCTGGAAGCATGCTGGAATCGCATTAGATCATAGGACAGTGGCAAGAGGACAGGATGGACTGGTCTCTGAGAGACAGGAAGAAGCTTACCGAGCTGGGACAGGTAGCCAGATCTACAGCATTGAAAACACAGGGGATTTCGCTGGTTTCTTTTTTAATTGATTATTTTCAGCAGCGGCCTGGGAGTAGAGTGAGGGTCCAGGTAAAGACTACTGTAACAGAGACAAGGCCTCACCAGACCATCTGCCCCAGTGGCGCAGGTCAGGGGAAAGGTGGACCTCCAAAGACAGGAGTTAAGTGTATCTTGAAGCCCTGTGCTCAGAAGCAGTATGAGGGCTGAGACAGCAAATAAGATAAGGTTTGACACCGGGCGGTGGTGGCACACGCCTTTAATCCCAGCACTCGGGAGGCAGAGGCAGGCGGATCTCTGTGAGTTCTAGGCCAGCCTGGTCTACAAGAGCTAGTGCCAGGACAGGCTCCAAAGCTACAGCGAAACCCTGTCTCGAAAAACTGAAAAAAAAAAAAAAAGATAAGGTTTGACTAGGAGGTCAGCCAGCTCCTAGGACTGGCCAGAGCTACAAAGGCCTGGAGGAGAGGGGACCTTAACTGAAGTCTGGTAAGCAAGCATATTCTCACTCCTCAGTGCAGACCAAACAGCTCAGCTCCCTGGAAATTGAAAGTAGACAAGATAGCCAGGCAAAAGTTGGGAGCATGGATGTGGGGTGGGGTTGGGAGAGAGAAGGGAGAAGGGGAGGGTTGGGGAAAGCTTGGGGGAGTGGGATGGTTGAGATGGAAGAAGAATGGATATGGGGGCAGGGAAGAAGATAATTAAGGGAGCCATTTTGGGGTTGGCAAGAAGCTTGACTCTAGAGGGGTTCCCAGGTGTCCATGGGGATGTCCCCAGCTAGGACCCTGGGCAGTGGAGGAGAGGGAGCCTGAACTGGCCTTGGTTATGTCCAAATCCATCGGTCCCCTACAAAAGCCAACAAAGGAGACCGAGTGTCCCATATGTAAAAGCAAAGAGCCTTTATTTTAATCAAGTTTGCAAACTCAGTCTCTCCGCACGTCCAAAGTATTGGAATATCCAGGTCAGCCTCATCTACAAAGAGAGTTCCACAAAAGCCAAGAAACCCTGGAGGGGAGGGGAGAGAGAAAATGCCTCCAGAAGATTGGGCTGTAGGCAAGCCTGCTGGGCATTTTCTTAAGTAGTGATTGACAGGGAAGAGCCCAGCTCACATGCTGGTGGGCCTGGATAAACCCTTTCCTCCCCAAGTTGATTTTGGCAACCCAGACTATGACAGCAAGCTTCCCATGGCTATAGCAAGTACCTGAGATAATCAGTTTACAGCAAAAGTGTTTATGTTAGAGGCTGCAACCCACGGTTTATTAGCCCTTCACTTGAGTAAGATGGGATTGGCAAACATAGCAAGGCAGGGCATGTGACAGAAAAACTGCTCAATTTAGAACCATAAACTGAGGAAGAAAAAATGCAAAGGTTTTCCAATCCCCCCTGAGGGTACACCCCAATGATCTGAAGGCCTACTGCTAGACCCCACCACCTAAAGCGTCCTCTGTGTCTTATGTACATCCATCTTGAGAGGAAGCCTTCAACACATGGGCCCTTGGGGAACAGTTGACATCTAAACTGTGAGGGTGGAGCTGGCTGTAGCGCAGAGCTGGGACCCCCTGAAAGTGAAGCAACCATGTTGGTCCTTAGAGAAACACATTACTTGCTTTTATTTTTTTAAAAAACTTAAAAAAATGCATTTTTTATACATAACGGGTTTTTTTTGGTCATATTTGTATTTTTAACAACAACAACAAAAATGTTGTCCCCTAGGGGGAATTTTGTATATGAGGCAGAAAGGAGGGATGAGTGTGATTAATTACCTAGATTTTCACTCAGGAACTACATTACCAAGCAAGTGTTTATCATCCTCTGAAATTTTATGACATTTAACAAATCCCCCTGAGACTGCCAAGTATTTGCTGCTCAAAGCGTCTGCGCTGCCACGGCTTAAAACTCAGAACCAGGTTTTCAAATCGAACCAAGTATTTTGGCACTCATCGGCCTTGCGTGGGGATAAAATAAGACTGGGGATGAATTTTTCTTCCTAGCTCACCATCCAAATGTCTGTAGTAGGAAGAAATATAAACCACTTCCTGCTCCTCCTTCTGAACTGAAAGTCACCACAAAACCGATTGGCCGAGAGTAGTCATTTCTTGACATGTAATGAGGGGCAGGTATTCAGGCAGATCATAGTTTGAGGGGCTGGCCTCTGCCCTATGGTGTCGGGCTCGGCTGGGGAAACCAGACGACAGAAGGGGCCTGGGGCCTTCATGGCCAGTCGCTGGAGTTTTCAGTCATACGTCTGTCACTCTGCCCAGTCTGAAATCTACCAGGTGTGTCTGCAGGTGGCCTCTAACTTTATTTATTGTGGTGCTTTGAAAGGGAATGTCCCCAGTAGACTCTCGTGTTCAAGTCTGTGCTCCATAGGGAAGAGCACCACATAGGAGGCGTGGTCTTGTTGGAGTAGGTGGCTTTGTTGGAGGACATGTGTCACTAGGCTTTGAGGTCTAATATGTT